AAGAAACTTCTACAGAAAGTAGCAACGGGTCCTGAGAAATGTCGCTAGGTTTGTCGCTAGGCGCTTTTTGGAAAAAAAAAAGTCATTGAGGGCGGTCAAAAAGTCGTTAGGAACAGCGACAATGTCGCTGAGTTGGCAACACTGGGCACCTGGCCTCGCAAGACATCGCCTTGCGAGGCCAGGTGCCTTGACATTGAGAAACACCCCACGACTGACTCATTATTCACTTCAAACCTTCCTTCCAACATTAGACTGTTTTGTAATTATTTCACTGTAAAATTCTAACATAATGCACCTTTAAAAAAGTAAAAGTCATACTGCAACTCCATCTGTGAAATTTGACGTAATGTTTTCTAAGCTTGATAAAACTTTGTCACCAGCACAGAGGGTACAACTTGTCATCTGTAGCTGACTAAAACTCAAAATAGTGACTGTTTTTCTAGCTAGGAAATGTGCATCTCTTTATGGTCCTCTGATGCCTTTCCAAGGCCCTATGTTTCCAGAATTCTACATACCCTTGCATTGGTCTAATGTAATGATGTCAATGATAAATAAATGATAATTGACCCGCACTTGTATAGCGCCTCTCAGAGTAAGGACTCCAGAGCGCTTTACACTACAGTGTATCATTCATCCATTCACACGCTGGTATTGATGAGCTACGATGTAGCCACAGCTGCCCTGGGGTGCACTGACAGAGGCGAGTCTGTCGTACGCAGGCGCCACCGGTCCCTCCGATCACCACCAGCAGGCAAGGTGGGTTAAATGTCTTACCCAAGGACACCAAAGCAGAATTCTCTGTCCGGAGCCAGGATCAAACCTGCCCCAGTGGTGCTGGTGAGGCACATTTGTATTCCTGGACACATTTTTGCACAAAACCTAAAATAACGTTCCCCCGTTTGAAAATAAGCGTGTTCTTGGCATCAAAATACATCTTTAAATTTCACAGATGTGAAATCCACGACACATAACAAGCAGAATTAGAAAGTAGCATTTTTTTGCCCCATTAATTTTTTTGTTCTTCCGCGGTTCGGAATTAGTAGTAGTAGCGTTAACCAGAGCCTAATTTATACTTCCCTATCGGCTCGAGGGAGAGACGCCCACATTTTGACAGAGACGTTTAGCTCTCAGATTTCTCAGCCGCCAGGTCAACAGAGGGCATAGCCCTGTTCTGAGGTTTCCTGCAACCATTACAGTCACGCATCCGGTACACAATAGTGTTTTTCCCATTGCGTTTACATTGTTTTAATGTATTTCAGACACATTTTTAACACAGGCAAATTTGTCCCTCATTCCCCTCCACCTCTTCATGCGATCGGCACCTCTAAACCCATGTTTCTCGTCTTTTCCGTTCACAAATTAAACACTTGCTGCATATCTTTGTACTCCTTCAGCCACGGGTGAGTAAACGTTCATATTTTCAGACTATTTCTGCAATGCATTCTTCAATCTGTTTCGTGTCTGCCGCTAAATATCTTTTTACTTTTTGAAGCGGCAAAGACGGTGATGTTGACGAATGCAAACAATAAGCAGAGTCCCAACCAATCACAAGCTTGCGGTCTCTGTCTCTTTTCGACGGATAGGTAAAATTTGGGGCGTGACTCCGTCTTCCTTCTCAAGCTCGTCAAGGGCTCTTGCGTCGACGCATAATGGCGTTGCGTGTGTCCGTCCTGACAAAGAAGTATAAATTAGGCTTCTGATTCATGTCTTCACATTGCAAAAGAGTCTCATGTTCTTACAGGGTTATATGTTCTTATGTTTATGTTTATGTATTTAGCAGACGCTTTTGTACAAAGCGACTTACAAGTGATAATCGGCATGTTGCCCTTGAGGCTAACAACAACAATAACAACAACAACATTGACATCAGTCATGGAGAGTAGGGAACAAAGGAGAGTAGAGAGGGGGGACGGGTGCAGGCAAGGTGCTAGTTAAGAAGATGCTCTCTGAAGAGCAGGGTCTTCAGGAGTTCATTGAAAATTGAAAAGGAAGCTGCAGTTCTGGTAGTGCTTGGAAGGTCATTCCACATTTGTGGAACGATGCATGAGAAAAGTCTGGATTGTCCTGAGCGTGGTGCACTGCTAGCCGACGATCCTGTGATGACCGGAGCGGCCGGGCCGAGACGTAAGCCTTTGCAAGAGGATCCAGGTAGATGGGAGCCGTACCATCTCAGACTTTGTATGCTAGTATTAGCAATTTGAATTTGATGCATGCTGCTAGCAGTAGCCAGTGGAGCTCAATGAACAGAGGGGTGACGTGTGCTCTTTTTGGCTGATTGAAGACCAAACGCGCCGCTGCGTTCTGGACCATTTGAAGAGGTCTCACAGTACAGCCTGGAAGACCAGTTAGAAGGGCATTGCAGTAATCGAGGCGGGAGATGACAGTAGACTGCACCAGGAGCTGGGTGGCATGTTGTGTTAGGTATGGTCTGATCTTTCGTATGTTATACAGCGCGAGGCGGCATGAACGAGCAACAGAGGCAACGTGATCTTTAAAGGTCAGGTGTTCATCAATCACAACACCCAGATTTCGAACTGCCTTTGAAGGAGCCAGAGATAGGAAGTCATTTTGGATTGAGATATTGTGCTGTATGGATAGTTTTGCTAGGATGACAAGTAGTTCAGTTTAGAGAGGTTGAGTTGGAGATGGTGGGATTTCATCCATTTTGATATGTCAGAGAGACAGTTTGATATTCATGCAGAGACAGTGTGGTGGTCCGGTGGAAATGACAGATAGAGCTGGGTGTCATCTGCATAGCAGTGGTAGGAGAAGCCATGTGATCGAATGATCTCACCCAGTGAGGTGGTGTGTATGGCAAAGAGAAGAGGTCCTAGTACAGAGCCCTGGGGGACTCCTGTGGCAAGATGGTGCACGGTAAAGGATTGTCCAAGCCAAGATACACTGAATGATCGTCCTGTGAGGTACAATTCAAACCAGGCATGTGCTTTTCTCTGTGATGCCCATGGTAGAGAGTGTATCTTTATTCAAAATTCAATCAACAAAATTTTTTATGGTCAAAAATTTAAGCTAAAAGCCATGAAAAGCTAAAATATTGTTTTTCTGGAACTGGTGAATTTATGGGAACAAACCATACGATCTTTTCCCGAGACATGCAGCCAAACCAATGAAACCTTTAATGAAATGGCTGGTTTTCCGTGTGTTCTGGCCTGTTGGATGCGGTAAACTATAGTGAAGCTAAGTCCTGATTTTGACTTATCACACAGCCCACACACACAGCTCTGGTGTTGGACTGACTCAGAAAGGTTGACACCAAACCGTGCGTCAGATGTCAGATATCATTAATGATCAGTGTTGGCTAGTAGTGAGTAATATCAGTGCATCACCATAAAGTCACAGCCCTCTACAGAACGTGCAGTTTTCTAAGTGAGCCCTAAAAACATTTTCTTAAAAAGGGCAACACGATTAACGTTGTGTTAGCCTTTTCTTGCTCGATGCAACATGGTGTGAGAAATATCCCGGCTGTCGTGTCCCTGATAGAGATTAGCCAGCAGTTCTGCTAGACGGTGGTGGGAGTTTGGAGGAGTGATGAGATGTATCAGACTCCACAATCTGCTCTGGTGTAAATATTTTCACACTGCAGAGAATCATTTGGGTCTCTGGTGCACTGAAGATTGAAAAGCATGTTTTAAACTCTTTTTTTAACATTGCTGATATGATTTACAAATCTATTACATCTCAAGTTTTCAATATAATTTCAGGGGTTGGTTATTGTTAGAAATAAAGGAATAAGGCTGTTGCTGTTTTTTTTCTAAGCTTTGTTTTTACAAGCTGGTTCCCAAAGTCAGAGACTCTCTTGGTCAGCTTGCTTCTCACGCCAAACCCTCTGTCAGGAATCTTGGCGTGACCTTTGACCCAGCTCTCACCCTGGATTCTCATGTCAGTTCTCTTGTTCGCTCCTCCTTCTTCCATCTCAGGAACATTGCTAAGCTGAGTCCCATTCTGTCCCGCTCTGAACTTGAGACAGTTCTCCACACCTTCATCTCCTCACGCTTAGACTACTGTAACTCTCTTTTCACGTGTCTGAGTAGATTCTCCCTGAACCGTCTACAGGTGGTTCAGAACGCCTGTGCTCGGCTTCTGACCAAGTCCTCCAAACTCACCCACATCACCCCGCTTCTCCTCCAGCTTCACTGGCTGCCAGGCAACTTCAGGGTTCATTTCAAGATCCTGGTTCTGGTCTATAGGGCCTTACATGGACAAGCACCATCTTACATTGGTGATCTTCTTAGTCCAGGGGTGTCCAATCCTGGTCCTCGAGGGCCGGTATCCAGCATGTTTTCGTTTTAACCTGTTTCAACACACCTGATTTTAATCAGCAGGTGATTAACAGACTTCTGCAGAGCCTGATGAGCTGCTGCACAGGTGATTCAACCAGCTAATCAAGCATGTTGAAGCAGAAAAACCACAAAACCTGCTGGTTACCGGCCCTCCAGGACCAGGATTGGACACCCCTTTCTTAGTCCCTACACCCCCAGCAGGTCCCTGAGGTCCAGTGATCAAAGCCTACTGGTTGTGCAGCACCAGGCTAAAGACCAAAGGTGACAGATCATTTGCTGCTGTGGCCCCCAGACTCTGGAACTCTCTCCCCCTGAACCTGAGATCAGTGGACTCAGTGGTCTCCTTTAAAAAGCAGCTGAAGACTCACTTGTTCAAGCTGGTTTTGATGTGACCTTCACACTCTCCTTGTCCTGCTCTCCCCACCTATTCCACCTTCCTCAGGAACCACTGATTTCCCTCTTTCCTATTCACTCTCTCTCTCTCTTTACATTTTTTAATCACAATTGTCTATTTTTTGCTCATTTTAAATATATTTTAATCATTTTCTAAATTCTTTTTTATATTTTGCATTTTTTGTTTTTGTGGAGCGCCTCGTGACTTTTATCTTGAGAGGCGCTATAGAAATGATTTCTTCTTCTTCTTCTTCTTCTTCTTCTTCTTCTTCTTCTTCTTCTGTCAAAGGTCAAATTGTGAACTTTGCGTCCAAATACAGAGGAGTGCCTTTTATTGCTTTTCCTTACAACCTAAGCTAACTGAAACAGAAGGAGACATTTAGTAAGAAGTGCAACTTCTGAGAAGAGAGGACAGCCCCACTTGCAACAGCAGAATTTATGTGTTTTTAACAATGTCTGAATGGGAGGTGAGTATACAGGAAACAAGCTTTCGATGGACTTGAACTCTGTGACAGTTTCCACTTTTGCTTTAATTTAACAATCAGATTATTTGGATTCAGCCAACTTCAGATAATGTAAATAACAGAAGTGTATGTGAAGCTTTGAAAGTTCCAGGATTTATAAGAAGATGCTGACTCATCTTGACTTGGTCTGACACAGTGGACTGAGCTTATGACATGCATCGACTGGATTTGACTTGACTTTAATTGACATGATATGGCATGACATGACATGCATCGACTGGATTTGACTTGACTTTAATTGACATGATATGGCATGACATGAATTGATTTGACTTGACATGACATGACTTGATCTGGCTCAACTTGACACGACATGACTTGCTCTCAGTTGACATGACATGATTTGATTTTACTTGACTTGACGTGGTTTGGCATGACATGACTTGATCTGACTTGAAAGGACTTGATCTGTCTTGAATTGAGATGACATGGCATGATCTGACTTGAGATGACATGACTTGACATGACATGATATGACATGACATGAATTGATTTGACTTGACATGACATGACTTGATCTGGCCCAACTTGACACGACATGACTTGTTCTGACTTGACATGACATGATTTGATTTTACTCGACTTGATATTATCGAGTCTTGCTAGTGAGTTTTTGCAATGAGCCAGCCCTTAAACTATGGCTGCAGGAAGATGGTATCATGGTTGCCAGGTGGAAATGATCAAGCAGACCCAGGTGAGAATAGCTGATGGATAAAAGTGGAAATTCAGAGTTTTTTTCAATGTGCTACAGAGGCGTGGGTTCTCTGTTTGTTAGCCGTTTAGCTAGCTGAGCAAGGATTCATGGGAGGTGTCTTGTAGCCTCACCTTAGTGTAAAATTTCCCAGAATATAGTGTGCTATTTTCAAAAGGATGGCGGATCAGGAGCCTGGAGCTACTTTGGGGGCAAATGTTCTGTTCGAATGTAAGTCAACTAATTATAGCTATCGGGCTGATATCATGTCTAAATGTATATATATTTTTAGATCCAGAGCAGTTATCTATGGTTGCTTAGTAGTTTCAGCTTCGGTGGCTAGTGGGTAGTAACTCACTTATCTATTTAATTTAACCAGTATATACACAATTTAAAGGGACTTTACGGAATTTTAAATTTTTATGCTCGTGATTGCCCCCTCAGGCCAAAAGCGTAACGGCAGCTTCAATAGTAGGCTCGTGCACGAGCCGCGCATGCTGTACGTGCACACTCCTTAATGAAAATAACAGCTGAGACAGTTCTGTGTGTGTGTGTGTGTGTGTGTGTGTGTGTGTGTGTGTGTCTGTGTGTGTGTGTGTGTGTGTGTGTGTGTGTGTGTGTGTGTGTGTGTGTGTGTGTGTGCGTGTGTGTGTGTGTGTGTGTGTGTGTGTGTGTGTGTGTGTGCGGCCCGGAGGACAGAGGACAGGAGAACACGCAGCTAATTAATTAAATAATTTGGTTCTGTACCTTTCTCTTCAGCACAGCCGACAAAGGTTTATGATGGGTCAGTCCTCCTGCATGCTCAGATCATTCCCTTCCCTTGCTTGAAAAATTGTTTCAAAATGAAAGTTGAAACCACATCTTTTTTATCTGTGAATTCAATGCCGTTCGGCGAGTCTCAAATAAAAATTTGGGCATCTTACTGTAAAAAAATATACCATTAATGTAAAAAAGAAACTCTAAATAAACGATGTTCACACCCAGAATCAAATCTTCTGCTCGAGAGCCCAACGTCTTACTGGGTGAGCTAAAGCGCCAGTGACATCCTTTGTATCTGTAATATTTATACCCTTGATGACAGCTGAAACAACGTTCAAAGAACAGTTTGGAGCGAAAATGGCTATTTTGTTGCTAATTTGCAGGAAATATCTAGAAGAAAGTTCTACAGAAAGTAGCTAAGGGTCCTCAGAAATGTAGCTAGCTTTGTCACTAGGCGTTAGGAACAGCGACAAAGTGGCACTGCCTCTCTCTCTGCTGCTAAATCTACGGATAGCAAATGCTACGGGCTATGCCTGAGCGTGAACGTGCATGAAGCAGCCTGCTCGACCCGAGCATCTCTCTTTTTCTGTGATTTTACAGAAAAACAGGCAATCACAGTAAAAATGCCAGGGCTCATTCTACAGGACCAGGGCATTGCAGGAGAATGTATGAAGAAGATATTTATTATTTCTATACATGTTTTGGCTGTCAAACTTTCATAATGCCCCTTTAAAAAGTAAAAGGCTCGTTATACATAAAATATAACTTAACCTCACGTGTCCCGTGAGGTAAGTTTGTTCCATTAAACCGATTTCTTTGATCAAGGAAGGACAGTGTCCTCATAGGCAAGGCGTCTGGCCTACCAAGACATTGCCTTATTAGGCCAGATGCCTTGACACTGAGGAACGCCCTTAGACCTGCTCCCATGTATTTTAGACGCAATTTTTATAGTTATATGTTATTCTATATAGAAATGATACCTTCTTCTTCTTCTTCTTCTCATGAAGCCGCCAATATTTTTCAACAACTGGGCATCATTTCATTCACTTTCAACATAATTTCGATGGATATTTCCAGAGATTAACGGTAAAAACTACACATTGTCTCTTTAACAAAAAGTCAAGTTTTAAGCTAAGAAAGCAAGAAAATTGGTTTTTGTCCAAATGTATTTGGTTTTGCTCTTGAAGAATTCAAAATCTCACATTATAGAACAAATAACGTAGTAATATAGTGAATAAATACAGGTATAAAAATAGAAATTAAGGAAATGAGCTGTTCTGTTAGTGGTTGTTGGTACCGGATGGATCTTCACCTACAGCCATGCCCAAGTTTACTGAGAATGGTCTGAAAAAGAAAATGTGCCTAAAAAAATTCTCTCCTGATATTCCAAATTTAAACATGAAAAGTATTTGCCTGCAAAAATCTTTGAAAAAATACATTTGTCCAATCGTCCTTCTAAAGTCCGCAGAGTACGAGCCGTCACTTCCTGTTTCGGAGAAGTCCAACGCTCTAACTCGAGATATTGATCAAGCTTCAGCAGAAAGGATCGTGAGGATGCTGCAGCTGTGTGATGCCCAGATGTTTCAGGAAGAGACGGGACCGACCTATCAGGTTCACGTGTTTCGTATATCCCTCAGTTGAAACAGGGTTTTGGCAATAATCTCATTTAAATGTCATCGTTAGAGGATTCTGAGCTGCCAGATGGTGAGAACTTTAATGGAAGTTGCAGAGAGGGTGCATCTTATTCTTCAGGTACTCTCTGTGTGATTGGAATTTGTTTTTACGGGTTTCTATGGCAACGAGTTACATCTGTCTCCTGTCTACAGGACCCTCAGGACAGCCTTGTTGTTCTGAGCGGCTGTGGTACTTCTGGACGACTTGCTTTTTTCATCACGGTAAAAGTTATCTCTGTTATTTCTAAAGAAACCCAACCGTGTCATCTGAATCGTGATGTCCTACTAGCTTCAGCGTGTCTCCTGTTTATGTTTGTTGTTAGTCCGGCTTCAACAAAGCGCTGAGGCAGCTGAACCGGAGCGACATTTATTCATACATCATCGCAGGAGGAGACAGGTTTGAACCGCAGTAGTTTAGTGATCACTCATGCCCACAAATTTCACGCCATCATTTAAGACCAATAACTTCTTTTTTCTTCTCCCTCGTTGTCCTCAGAGCTCTGTTTTCCTCCCAAGAGGCTCCAGAGGACGACCCCAAACTGGGCATGCTCAGTCTGAAGAAGGTCAGGGATTTCGCTGGGGGATGAGTCCAAGATTGTGTCGGGAGTTTGAATGATAACGGGTTAACATGTTGCCTTGCAGGCGTGTGAAGGAAAGAAGAGAGTCCTGTTCTTTGGGATTTCCTGTGGATTATCTGTGAGTCAGCTGCGTGTGCTCTACACATGAAAAGGTCTTTATAGTCTGAGAATTAAGGTGCATAAATAAAGTAAATACAAAATGTTGTTTTCAAAAGATTTATTTTAACCCTCCCACCATCCTAATGGGTGTGAGCCCGCGAGGAAAGTTGACCATTGAGCAGGGTTGATGGTTTATCCCTTGGGTCCACGTGGCAGGGGTGAGGAGTGAGCACCACCTCACCCCTGCCACGTGGACCTCAAGTGATGAACCATCAACCCTGCTCAATGGTCAACTTTCTTCGCGGCGTCACCCATAAAGACAGTGGGAGGGTTAAAGCTACCTGAGCCAACCTGTCAGGTCTTTGTGATCTTTTTTGGCCCTCAGAGGATTTTGTCTTGATTCTCTCCCATGATGCCATTTTTGCGACCCCCTACCCTTAGGTCTATAAACGAAAGGAGTGTTGGTTGCTTTGTGTTGTTGTGAGCTCATAAACCTACAGCAAATTGTACACTCCTGTTGTGTGAAGGGCTGCCATGCTATCTTCTCAAGAAGGCAAAAAGTTCTTGTTCTGCTTGGTTCTGCTTCAACTTCAGCTGCAGCTTACCGTAGCAACGCTAGTCATACACCTAAAATAGCTTCTTTTGTTAGCATCATGGCAGAGCCTGGAAGAAAGCGTACAAGAAAAATGTCTTTGGAGGTGATGCAAAGAGCTAAAACCATGGTGAACGTTGGTGTGGCCTACGCTAGTTTGAGGGAGCTGAAGGAGGATATTACAGACTGATGGTGACCTGGCTTTGTTGCTACCTGACTTGTAAGTAATATTTCTTTGTCTATCAGTGAGGATCCTTTTACTTTGTGGCTTATTTAGTATCAGTTGCCTAGTGTTAGCGTTAGCTCGTGGTTAGTGCTAGGTACAGCAGGGTTGTTTTTGACAGTTGTTTTTCTGCTTTCAACCACTAGGAGGGACAAGCGGGGACAATTCTACAGGTGTGACAGGTGGAGCTGAACTCAGCTTTCTAAATGTTGTGGTCTGATTATCTTGTTGAAGGTTGCATTTAATGAGGAAATTAATACGTTTAGAAATTTGATCACTCTGAGTTGCATGCGCAACTTGAACATGAACTTTGTCTTCAAACTCAGTCGCCTCCATCAGCCGCAAAAAGGAAAAAGACAGGAAAAATAAAAAAAACACAGCTCTATGTCGCAGTAAAAATCATTGTCTATGGCCCCACCCACCTAGGCTTGGGACCGCCCATGGGAAGGAGAGAGCAGAGCTTGTTGAAGCTAGCTGTTAGCATTAGCAACTCAACAACATGGTGGAAGTCGCTCAGGCTTGTTTTATTTGCTGAAATAAAATAATGTTGCGTTTTCTACCCAAGAAATGAGTCGCATTAATGTCAGACAATCAGAGGTGAGATGTTTGCATATCATAAATATTAATGAGTAAGTGTCATAATCTTGTTGTTTTTGACCCCCTTCACTCCTCTGGCAAACCTGAAAAGAGACCGCCAGAGCTTTTTTCCCCTCAGAAAATGACTCTCTGTCACGAGTTGGGCAGGAGGAAGTTTAGGATCCAAGATGCAGAGAACCAGATGAACGAGGCAGGAGGTGGATGATGAAAATAAAATACTTTATTTAGGAGTAATCCAAGAGGGAAGGGAGCCAAAAACCAAAAATCCAAATATCCAAACCGAGAAATACAAAAACACTAGAGACCTAGAGACACTAGAAACACTGGAAACACTAGAGAGCAAACGAGACGAGTCTGACAAGATCAATGAGCCGACAAAACACTGAGACACAGACAGGGTTTTATACACTTTGGAGGAAGAAAGGGAGATGAGCTGCAGGTGTGTGGGGAGAGAGAGACCAGGTGAACTCAATTAACTAATCAGGGAGGAAACTAACACGACCTAAGTGTAAAGCCTAAAGACAAGAAGAGCAGCAAACATAACTAACATTCTAAGGGGGGAGCTGAAACTAAAGGAAAACACTACAGAAAGAAAAACTAAAGGGGTGTGACTAAAGGGGACCACGGCAGCACTGGACCTGGGAGGGGGATACCCGAGGAGGGAAACCTAGAGGGCTGAAGATCTGGGGACAAATGAGGAAGACAAGGAGGCACATGAGGGAGACATGGACAAGGACACAAGAGGGTGCTAGGAGACACAAAATGGAGAACTTAGAGAAGGATGGAGAACACAAGGAGACACATGAGGGGAGACGCAGACGCAGACCATGACACTCACAAGGCATCCAGTCAGGCTGAAGGCCACAGCAGATTTATTGAAGAAATGACTGATGAGTCCTTTAAAAGATAAAAAAAGAAGACATCTGTAAAGGACCAACATTTTTTATTCTTAATCATGAACATTGCTGCTCTAATTAGTGTTTTTCCGTTTCGTTTTAGGCTCCTTTTGTCGCTGGTCAGTTGAATTTTTGCCTACAGAATCTTGATGTTTTCACCCCTGTTCTTCTAGGCTTTAACCCCGTGCATCAGGCCAGGTATGTCATTTGCAGAAAAATGGCATCCAAAAACTGGTTAATCACTTTTTTTTTCAAAAATCTCTAATGATCATGTTTTAATTTGTAGGGATGAGCTCATACCTGGCTGCAACTTCACATTTCGCAGTGTGGCGGAAAAGATGCAGGAGCTCGCCAAGGGCCAGAAAGCTTTCCTCATCAACCCTGCAGTCGGGGTACCTTTTCTCTCATCATTTCCCATTCTTCCTCTCAACTGTTCAGGCTGCATTTGTGTCAAGTCCCCCAATGTACAAAATGACCATGTGTGTGTGAAAATGTGTGTGTCCGCTCAGCCGGAAGCCATCAGCGGCTCGTCCAGGATGAAGGGAGGCAGCGGCACCAAGATCCTCCTGGAGGTGGTTTTATCTGCTGCTCACGCCGCGACTTTTGCAAACACGCCCATCACTTACCAGTACGTAGGAGCGGAGATGACAGGAAGATGGTGTCTGCTGTAGCAGAAGTGTTATTTATTTAAAAATTTGACACTTTTCACAATATTATGATGTCGCAATACCCTAGATTTAATATCTATTCATTAAATTTAATCAGAATTAAGTTTATAAGATGCCCATGAACTTAATTCCTCATGTAATCATTTAAAAATGACATTATGTTCAGTGAAGATATTTTACCACAGGTCATCAAAACTGTAAAATGAATTAATGCCAACAAAGTGAATGGTGCCAAACCCCAAACATGCACATATTTTCAACCCTATAAATATTTTCTGCCCCCTAGTGGAAGACTTAAGTACTGCAGGAGGACATTTTCATTGTTTTAAAATATAGTTTTTCTCTTATATCATGTCAAAAATACTCAAGGTATAAGATAATAAGCAGTTCAACCTTTAAATAATATATATTGATTATTAATATTATTTATTTTACTGGGTCTAAAAAGGCTTAAAACACTAAAACTGAGCTGCATTTTTTTTTACTGAAAACCTTAAATACATTAAATATTTGTTTTTTAGAGTAAATATGGGCGCCTAGTACGTGTGTGTACAAATACTTGAGTAATTCGTAAAACAAACACAAAAACTTTAAGACAAGGTTAAAAACAGACATTTAAAGGTTCTGATGTAGCTTTGCAGCACCTCCAGTCTCCTCTGTGCACCCAGAGGAGTTCCTTGTTATTTGTTAAGTGCTTCTTTGTGTTTAGAGAAAACAGCGTTCGGTCCGCTCCAGTGAACACCCAACAGGGGAATTTCTTTTACCTTTTTGTATACTGCATGTTTTCTGAGCTGCAAAAATTGTTTATTGAGATGTTTACTTATTTAGCAACAGGATTTTCAAAACTAAATCCATCATGTTGCTTTTTATGGTCCCAATTATTGTGCTCTGCTGACCTCTAGTGGTTGCTTTAGAGAGCAACAGATCTCATTGGACTGCACTGCACTGCATGGGTGTCTAGTGTGGGTAAAAAGCAGATTTAAAACAAACAAACATTTTGTTCTGTTTTTTTTTTTTGTCCACCAGTAGTGTTCTGCAGCATATAAGTGCTTATAAACAAACTCTGGACAAAACGTACTCTCGGAGAGTTGAGATGGCTGCTCTGGTGGAGGCGGCGGGACACAGGTGGGACGCCCTGTTCCATAGCTCCGTGTCATTATTTAACACGAGAAGCTGATCGAACCTCTCTGTGTACCAGTTTGGCGTGTGGTGGGCGAGTCATTTACTTGGGTTGGGGCTCACTTGGTTTGTTGGGCCTCATTGATGCCAGCGAGTGCATTCCCACCTTTGGAGCAGGTGGGAGGACTTTCATAAACAGAAAGAAATCTAAGATTTGTGTAAACGCTTTTGTGCATTTTCTGATACGTGTGTTTCATAGATCACGAAGACGTTCGAGCTTTCGTCAGCGGAGGATACCAAGAGCTGAATAATGCTGAAGGACCTTTAAGTTCACTTGTACGTGAAGGATTTCTATTAAAATATGGAACCACTAGAGATGATAAATCTGTTATTAGTGGACCCAGAATTTTCAAAGAGGCTAATATGTGTACATGATATTCAGATGAACACATGAATCATCAGAGTATCGGCAACTCAGTGGAATCACATTAAATGATGCCTGGGTCCAAGTTAGCACCCTGCAATCTGACTTCCCTCTTTTTCCATTGTTAACGCTTTGGGGAAAACATGGCTGCTAACAGAAAACAAAACAAATCTCTGATTGAAGTCTTTCCAGTTCTCTGTGAAAGTCACCTAGGTCTACCCTCCTTGCAGGGTCCTGCTTTTTGCATATCACATGAGGATTTCCTCCAGCTGGTGCTGCCTGATCTCAGCAACAAGGACACTGTTCTGCTTGTCTTCACGTGCTCTGGTGACACCAGCTTGTTTTCATGTTTGAATCTGAGCCAGCATGAGTTTTAACAGCTCCTCTCCACAGATGATGTCAATCAGGTGGCAAAGCTGGCAAGAAGAGTGAGAGTAAAGACGTCCAACCTCCACGCTGTATATCACCTGACTGACAGAGACACGGCTGAACAAGTATCTATCTATCTATCTATCTATCTATCTATCTATCTATCTATCTATCTATCTATCTATCTATCTATCTATCTCTCTATCTATCTATCTATCTATCTATCTATCTATCTATCTATTTCATACACACACACACACACACACACACACGCACACACACACGCACACGCACACGCACACACACACACTGGTGGTGATAAACTACATCATAGCCACAGTACTTACCTACCTACCTACCAGTGTTGGGAAAGTAACTTTTCAAATGTAATTAGTTAGTTACTAATTACTTTGTAAAAAAAGTAACACTAGATTATAAAAGTAACTAATTACCAAGAAAAGTAACTACTTAGTTACTTTTTTCATTAAAGAATGCAAGAAAAAGGGGTTAATTGAATTTACTTAATTTACTATAAATTACTGCAATAGTGAAATATTAATGACTAATGACTGGAACATAATAATATGTATGTCCAAATGTTTTTTTAAACCTGAATAATTTAAATTAATAAGCACTTAACAGGAGGAACTACTAACAGGAACATTACACTTATCTAGACTATTAAAAGGTCACTGTGTGATATTCAACAAGACCCCAATCAGCTAATATTTAAAATTGCAAATAGAAACACCTGTAAATGTTCCTGAGACTTTAAATGGTCTCTCAGTCTAGTTAAATTACAGAAATGAATGTAATTTTGCACAGTATTTTTATTTTTCCAGCTTCACATAATTGTGTGTTTTTAGTAGCATTTCTGTTGCTGCTAATCTAGTAATTGTCATGTTCTGTGGGTGGAGATGGCAGACCATGTGTGGTGGTGGGTTCCAGGAGGAAGAAGATCAGGCAGACAGATGAAAAAATAAAAATACGTTTATTTGTAGACTGGGAGCAACAGGACGGACGAACATGCACAAACGACAATGAACCGACAAAAACAGCAACAAGGAGGGAGGTATAAATACACAAGGGAATCAGGAACACATGGGCAGAGTAATGAGGGACAGGTGAGAACAATTAGGCTAATCAGGGCAGGAGAGACACAGTCAGGGAGGCCGGGGTGGATCATGACAGTAATGGTTCAATAAATAAATAAAATCCTTTAAAATGACACCAGAAGAGGCACAAGCCTGATGGAGGACTCACATTTACTAACGTGGGTCAGACCCAACCACAGAGGAGCTGAAGCTGGGTGGTGAACACACACAGGTAGTTCTAATAACACCTGAGCTCCATGACGTCTGAGACTGATGCATCAGTGTTACAGCGGGACTAAAGACATGATCAGAAACAGGTTACAGCTGGATGATCTAGGAAGGCAGAAGATCAGGACGTCTGAGCGGTGAACAGGTGAGCGGACCTTCAGGATGTCCCGCTGTCACGCTAAGAAGGGCGTATATTCATCACGTCTTCCTCGTTCTTCACGGGCCGTGATGCATTTGGATGAAAACATCTGCCTCTTTAGCTCCTGGTCAGCTGATGACAGCTTCAACACACCGCACTGCTTAACGCACGCATTTCCTTATCAGTAACAGAAACGACGTTTTGATAAAAGAAGACGTAATAAATTAGTTTGCTCGTTACTGAAAGCAACATTTTTTTTAGTAACGCGGTTATTTTAAACGGCGTTATTCCCATCACTGCTCTGTTGCGTCTACAGCATGCGGTGAGAGTGAGAACGCTGAGGGTCTCCGCCCACCCGGCCAATCATCATCGTGTTTGTAAGTGTGTTACCGACACCTCTCTCTCCCTGGCTGCAGCTGAAGTGTGGCGGTCAGAAAGCCTCACGCTGTTGCTCAACGTTCCACAAGCACATAGTAACGCACAACCTTCAGTCCCCAGTAACGGTAACAGCATTGCAACAGTGGGAAAAGTAATTAATTAGATTATTCCGTTAAACAAAAAACGAACGCCGTTATTTTAAACTGAATTATTCCCATCTCTGCAACCTGCCTGCCTGCCTACCTACCTGCCTACCTACCCGCCTACCTACGAACCTACCTACCCGCCCACCCGCCTGCCTGCCTGCCTCCCTCATCAATACATCCAACTACCTACCTACCTACCTACCTGCCTGCCTACAAAACATGCCTGCCTGCCCGCCTGCCTACGAACATGCCTGCCTGCCCGCCTGCCTACGAACATGCCTGCCTGCCTGCCCGCCCGCCCGCCCGCCTGCCTGCCTGCCTCCCTCATCAATACATCCAGGTTGTTTGTATTGCAGGCTGACATCATTAAACTATGTTCTTCCACGTTGAACCTCACCTGGCCTGCAGATCCACCTGCTTCATGGAGCTCATTAAACATGGTAGGTAATGAACTTTCTTTTCTTTTGATCTCTCTGACTCTGTATTATTAAATTTCCCTGGTTAGACTCAGAGTGTTTCTCTGTCGCTTTGCCAGGTTGAGAATCGGTTTCTTTTGTTCTCTCAGCAGTGGGAGCTGTCCACTAAGCTGCTGCTAAACGCCGTAAGCACTGGAGCTCACGTCTTAAAGGGGAAGATTTACCAGAACCACATGATCGATCTGCAGGTTTCCAACAGCAAACTCTACTGCAGAGCCACACGTTTGCTCCAGGTACACAGAACCACTCTGCTGGCATATTGTCAAAAACTAGAAGGTTACTGGTGTGATAAGTGAAAGAAAAGAGACAGACTTTTTTCAGAAGTCGATGTTCTTTGCAAAAAAGTCAGAATTACATATTTTTTTCTGTTTTCGTTGGCCCTAATCCTTTATAATTCACTTTTTTATACATGAACCCAACATTTTATAAAATCTTACAGTATGTTGTTGCCTGATATTGTCCACAATCTACCTCAGTCATTTATTTACCATACTAAGTATAAGTATATAGGTTCTCTTTCCAGTTTAAAGTCTTTATTAGAGCATGTATTGCCATAAATTCTACTGTTTTGATTTAGTTGTTTTAAAATGCATCAATGAGGGCTGGAGATGGGCACCGGCTCCATGTGATCGTACACATGAAGTTTCAGAGGAATAAAAAATTACTGAAGGAATATTTTATGAGTCTTTAAAGCAACACTAACACATTTCCTGCTTCTCCCTCCTGCTGGTTGAAAGTGGAATTACAACAGTTGTAAACAACCCTGCTGCTGCCTGCTGTAGTTAGCGCTAACAATGAGCTAACTCTAACATGAGCCATTAGATAGTAAAATAAGCCTCAAAGTAAAAAATGTTATTACTCACAATTCCAGTAGCAACAAAGCCAGGTCACCATCAGTCTGAGGTTTTCTTTCCTCCCTCAAGCTAGTGCAGGTGGCAGCAATGTTCACTCTGATTTAGGGGGCAGATATTATAAGTTTTTGCTTCTTTCTGCTCCTTTTCATTTATGATTATTTGTGAACATTAATTGTTTTAATGTAACTTTTATTTGATTGATTGAATGAAATAAACGAAACAAACGAACGAACGGGCTCTGCTTCACCTCCACAGACAATCTCCTACTTTCACTTCTAGGCTCATCTATGATGTCAACAAAAAACCAAATTCTTTTATTTTCTTCTTGTGTTTTTATTGACAGGCTGGTGAACTAGAAAGCTAACTGCTAGCCTTTATATTGGCTAAATAGCTAAGAGCCATAAAGCAGAGACCTCCCACTAGTGATCCTACCTGAACAAAAACATGGTTAATGGCTTTTTCTGGTCAGCAGAGGGCGACAGAGCACTGAACAATGTGAAGTTGGTAAAGTTTCTACCTGAAGAATCACTGAAAGGCACTTTGAAAGTAGTAACTGAAAGTGTTAAGACTCTGACTTATTTTAAAACCCACAAATTTGTTACCATATTGTTATTAAACGATCCCATCCCATTTGAAACTTACATTCAGACCTGTTGGACGGGATCCAACACAACATGAACATTTTTTGAAAACAGCACTTATGTTCAAGGACGTAGATTTGGCAAAGACGGAGGTGACGTATCCCCACCGATGTCCAACAGTGTTGGGCAAATTACTTCAAAACTGTAATGCATTATTTATGACTTGTTACCCTCATTTTAAAGTAATTCATTACATTACACCATTACTGATTTTAAAATGTAAGGCATTACACTACTTTTGCATTACTTTAAGTTACTTTCACCAAAACAACTTCAATATGAATCTGGTAATGTGGCGCTCAGTGAGCTCATGACATATATGTGGAAAGTGATGTGGTGTCTGAGCTAGGATTGCTGTTAAAAACAGTCAGATATGATAACAGTGCTTTAAAATGATTGTTTATTAAATAAAAGCAACAACAATCTGTACTCTCAGCACACTGCCATCTTATAGGGCCATCTGAGCAGGGAGTGAGGTGGTGGGGGCTCCAAGCCTATATTTGCCTTGGTCCCCAAATGCCTTGATACGGCCCTGGATGTGGGACTGACTTCTGGGGTGATCTGATTCTATCACATGTATAAATATTAAATGCTTATATATTATTGCTTTTCACTGGTAAAAATGGCTATTGAGGATAAATCTACCTACTTTTTTCTTGATGTTATATGAATAATTTCTGGCCCTTTCTCTCTCTGACCTTCCTGCATGCTGCATGTTTTCTCCGTCTTCCAGAAAAACTGTTTCCTAGATATCCTACTTTCTAACTAATCAGCCAAAGGGATCTACCAAACACACACACATAAAAAGCTTCAAATGCGCTGCGCTCCAGCAGCGATGAGTTGAAATCACCGGGACACAGACTATGAACTCAGCTGAAAAGTACATGAAGTACCAGAGAATATGGGCTGATGTAAACGACCACAAACGAATGACTTTGTTTTGGTGGAGCGATTTTGTGAATATAACAGCGGCCGCGCGCAGGACGCAGCTGGAGGATTTGAGCCGTTACCGCTGCGTCCTCTCTGCTCATAGAATGCCCGCAAAGTTGGAACCATAAATGACGTCATTTATGTGGATACTGGATCTTTTTTCAGGCTTACTGCTATTTGAATTTTTAGGAAACCCACATCTTGATTCTGGGTTTAAATGCATTGTAATTACTGCGTTACTGACAATTATACCGAGTAAATATTACCCTTTTCTTTCCCTGTGATGCCTTACATTACCACATTACAGCAAAAAGCAATGCATTACAGTAATTAATTACTTTTGTACCGCGTTACTCCCAACACTGTTATCCAACGATGACCAAATAGTCCCCACCAATAATTCCGCTAAAAAACAACATTCAATGTCTCGTTACCCTAGAGGTGCAGAAAAGGTTCAATTAATTTCCCCAACAACCAACCCTCACACTTTCGGTCATCACAATAAAAGCGCTGTACACCACATCCTGTCTCTTAAAAGTAGTTTAAATGAGGATGGAGGCAAAAAAGAAGAAGGTTGAGGACATATGGAGATTTTGACTAAAGTGAATACAACAATGATTTAATTTTACAACAATAAAACTAAATACAATTTGTACTTGGCAACTTTAGATTCCACCAGAGGGCAGAAAACATGTTTACGATTCAATAAAGCAGCTTTTTTGAGGAAAAATCAAGTCTTATTAAAACTATTAAAGAGAAAGAGCTCTTATAAACCAACACATTCTCACACCCAAAGCGACGGAAAATGACGCGTGTGACCAAGCGTCAAAATATGACGATCAGGGTGCCCCAGCGCGTCAGGAGAGGACACGCTGTCCCAGAGCATCGGTATCCGACGCCCGCGGTGACACGTGTCCCTGCGTGTCCTCTCCTGACACGCTGGGGCACCCTGATCGTCATATTTTGACGCTTGGTCACACGCGTCATTTTCCGTCGCTTTGGGTGTGAGAATGTGTTGTATAAACTTAGAAATATGTGTATAGATATGAAACAATTGTTGTTAAAGGGTTAAATTGACATGTTTGATGTTAAAATGTTGGTGAGACGCAACAGCTTTCAATAACATTTACCATTACAATTAAGTATTTAGAATAATTCTTGTGGGGAATCAGTACTTTATTGTTTGATCATGGATGAAAGAGAAAAACAAGTCCCCCACCAATGTCAAGAGCAAATCTACACCAATGCTTATGTTACCCACAATGCATCTCAATCCCAAGTAGTTTTATTGTGAAGGTTTTCCATAAGGCAATAGCACTTCCTAACCTCAAGCAGCAACACTCAATCAACTTCACGGCAAGCTGATCCAAACTCATTCTGGTTGTAGAGGATGTCTGGCCAGAAAGAGTCAGAGTGTGAGGAGGCTCTTCTGAAGGCCATCTATCGGGTCGATGTGCTTACAGCGGACATCACATCCTGTGGCGTCAAAAGCCACGTCCACATGGCCGCAAGACACAAGAAGGTATTGAAGTGTTGTGTAGGACGAAGGATGTGAGAATGGATGAATAAGAAAGCAAAAAGCAGATTGGATCATGTGTCCTCTCCTTATAGGTGGTCCCTTTGGCTTTGGTCTGTTTGCTGACTGGTTGCTCCATAAAAGAGGCGGAGTCTCATTTGGAAGAGAAGCCAATCGTTAGGGAGGCTGTGGCGGTGTACGCATCAAAAGTCATCAGCTCCACTCGGCTCATGAAATACGGACCTTTTAAAAACAATTAAATTACAACCGTAGAATTTTTGACACAATGTCAAAAATCACTAAATTGGAATTATTTTTTTTTTCTAATTCTAAAACATTTAATTTATTTTGTCTTCTTTTCTTTTACCTGCTCAACGACATAAATACCTAAAGGTTCAGCCATATTTTGTGAGCTACTCCTCAATCCGATCAGTACACACAGACACAACCACAGGTCCTGGATTAGTGTGACATGTGTGTGTGTGTGTGTGTGTGTGTGTGTGTGTGTGTGTGTGTGTGTGTGCATCTTGAGCAGCTTTGAGAATGTAGAGATGGAAACTCAGCAGCAAATGTCAGTGGCCTAGTGGTATAAGAGTCCGCCCAGGGATTGGGGTTCAAATCCCGGTCGGGTGATCATACCAGACTTTTAAAATGGGACCCAATGCCTCCTTGCTATACACTCAGCTTTAAGGGGTTGGTTTTGGGGGGGGGGGGGGGGGGGGGGGGGGGTTAAACCACCAAATAGGTGTGTGTGTGTGTGTGTGTGTGTGTGTGTGTGTGTGTAAGTGTGTGCCAGAGGATGAGTGTTGTGAAGGGTTTTTTACTCTCAGACTGTTTTAAATTCTGGGCATGGGAGGGATTGTGGGCGTGCGGGGCTTTTTTAATTTGTTAAGCACTTTGAGTTACATTCATTGTATGATTAAGTGCAATTTAAATAAAGTTTGATTTGATTTGATATAGCTATAGCTAACTCACCCATGCATTAACACATACATTTAATCTTGTTTAAAGGGATATTTCACCCAAAATGAAAAATTGTCTGTTGACATATTTCCCAGCGTTAGATAAGTGGGAACAAGAACAATTTTTAACCAGTCCAGTCATTCTCCTGACCCGACTGTACTCCCTTAGCTTTAGCTTAGCCGAAAACACAGTAAGTGAATGGATCCAACTAGCATTGTGAGTAAAATAAAGTCCTTAAAATCATTCAGTAGTCATTCCAATTCTGCGTGGTGACCTAAATATTCATATTGACTGCAAGTGAAAACAATTAGTAACATAAAGGAATCACAGGCGCCATTTTAGACTTGGGACTACTTTATGACAACGCACAGCTGTAAGCATCCGCTGAAAGGCGCAAAGCAGCCCCAAAGACACCTGCTTCTGTAAACACAGACACACACATTGTTAGTGAACCGGCTTCTTCTGTTCTATGTCTGCAATTAGTGTCCTAATAGAATAATCTCGTCCAGTTTGAAGGGTTTCAGGACACTGCTATTAATGCATAATAATCTAGTCCAGGTTTGAAACGTTTGAGTGTTCTAGTTTCAAAATTACAGTAGAGGAAATAGACCCAGGAATATTTTGAACTGCCCTTTTTCTGACTCGGAAGCTAGAAATGGAAATGCGATGGTTGAGCATATATAATGTTTCTTCAGTGTGTTTTGTGTGACAATGTTCACAAGATCTTGTGCTGAAAACAATGTGAGAGAAAAGACAAACAACTAAAAAATGATAGTTTTTTGTAACTAGTTAACGTTTTAGCAAAAATAAAAAATAAAAACAGTGAGACACTGCGGTTGACACAGGAAATAGCGCCCCCTGCAGTTCTGAAAAGCTTTTCCATATATGGTATGGTTTTCCCGCCCTCGGTCCTCAGTGCTTTCAGCCTCAGCCAGGACCTTCTCGCACATAGAAATGATAACGTAGACGCCCCATTATGCACTGGAGAACGTAACAGCGCCGCCGCCATATTGGATGCTTTTCTCACTCCAAACCCAACTGGAGTCAATGCAGAGTGAGCAGCTATGCCTTTTGTTTGTGCAACGACTGGCACACCACTGAGCACAGATCACATAAGAATTTTCTGTCCCTTCATAGCCTACCAGTACCAGATTTTTAATTTTGTTTTAATTAATTAAATTTAAATAAAGTTATATTTGAATTATCATGCCATACTATGTGTCTGATTTTGTGAAAAAGTGTAAGAAAATGTGTTTTTTGGGTAAACGCCTTCCTGCGTAGAAATAAATGCACCGGGGTGATTGGAGACCCATCCAAGATGGCAGCCAGCCAATTTATGTATATGATGTCGGTGTTTTCGTAGGTTTTAGACACTTACTTCCTGATATTTGTACATCTCTCCTCTGATTGGATAACAGCAATGACTCTGTTTTCTTTTTAATGTTGATGTTTTCTTTCCACAAATAACACAAACCTGGAGGAGTTTTGCCATGTTGTGGAGTGTGCTAATTCTAATGGTTAGCTTCTACTAGTTGAGACACTTTCTGCTGTTTCCTGGACGCTAAACCAACAACAGCCTCCCCCATCGTGAGCCAAGATGGGTGAGTCCATGAATGTTAAGTGACAGTGTGACGTAGATCTGAGTGGCATCTATTTTCTATTGGCAGCTGATGCAGGAAATAGTGTTAGAAGATCATTTTCACATTCAGCCTGCATGTTAAACTCAGAGTCACTGTTTACATATAAATTAACAATAAAAAAATACGTTTTTTGTGAACTTGGTCTTTAACGCCATCCTTTGCCTGTGGTCTTCCAGAGCATCTGACAAAAATATTACATATTAGACACCCAGAAAGCAACAATGAAGACAACTTCAACAATCTGCTGGTAAAACTCGATGTTAATTCAAGTAAAACTAAATAAAAATCATCTGTTTGATTATTTTATTAACATTGGCATCATTACAGCCATTCTTCACATCCTTTACCATTTTCAGCTGGTGACAAAGAACCAGTAGCAGCGTAGGCACCCCTCCACTCACCTGATGCCACAATAAGAGGATTTTTGTCGAGCTAAGCAGTAAAATTAGAGAACATGCTGCCTTTCTGTAGATCAAACTAGAAGTGGAGTTAAACCAGGGAACTGAGGGTGTCATTTTCAGGATTTTCGAGTTTTCAGGATAGTGTCTGGTAATTATTGGGATCAATAAGGCCTCGGCAACATCATTCATGCTCGGGTGCAGCAGGGCTAGTCGCACAAAACCCTCCGAAAAGCTTTAAAACCTAAGAAAAGTTTTCTCTTATTCTCCTGCTATAATTCCTTGAAAGTTAGACACAATTGTATAAGTAATTCTGCATACTTATGAAGCAGCAAATGTTCCTATAGGTATTAAAGTGACATCACTGGGGTTATGTCTGTTTATCCTGCTGACCTCTCAGCAGGCTGCAGGTCTAAGCACGTGGTTAAGTAATCTCTAGGAGGTCCAAATCACTGAGGGGACTGCAAAAGAAGCCCCAAACAAACATATTCTGTCCAAAACTACACAAAGTCAGTCATCCGTACAAGTTCTGAGGTACTTGGTAGATTATTGGCTAAATGACTTGATACATTTTAAAGTTGACATCCATTGAGCACAAAACTGGGTTCAAATAATTCACCCAAAAGTTTGTTTTTGATTTGTTTAAGATATATCTGTAATAGAGAGAGATACATGTGTAACTTAAATAAACATTTAAACAGCATCATCATGACTCCTCCTGCTCTGGACCTGGAGAGGTAAAGTGCATCAAGTGTTCAAATCTCTTTTTTACATCAGTGATTGTTGCTCCGGTTGTGATGCACCTGATGGCTGGTGGGTTCAAAGTCATTCATTTTGTTTTATTCTGCCACATGATTGGCTGCCACCAGAAGACACATCGTCAGCCGCCTTCTGAGCTTCTGTGGGACTCGTGGGTGAATCTGTGTCAACGATGTCCTCCATAGAGCCGGGCTGGGACTCCACCGAGGTCTTAGTGAACTGATGCAGGAGAGTCCCATCGTCGTTTTCATTTTCAGTGGCCTTTTCCTCTATGATATCTTCCTTAACCTCGTTCTCTTCTTTGTCCTCCTCATTTCCGGAAGCTCCAGCCTCCTCATGTCCAGATTCTTCATCTTTACTGTTGTCTGAGTGTTCAGCATCAACTGCTTCTCCCTCAGATATGCAGACAACAGGAACCACACTTAGACCCTGAAGGTTGAATGAGATGAGAGTTACTTCTGAGCATCACAACAGGCTCAAAATGAAGGTAGCAAAATATCAGATGTATGGGGCACATATGTGTGCTAATTCAATTCTGTTCTATTAATCCCAGAGGGAAATTAGAGTTTCAGTACACACAATTCAGAGATCAGACATACATGGGCAAGACACATGACAAGAATTGGTGACTGTGGTCATTCGCAACCCTGAGTCGCGCTACCTTAATAGAGATAAGAGGGTTACATGAGGATTGGTTCAGGTGGAGGGAAAAAAAAAGCAATTCAGAGTTACCCTCCACCAGTAGGGCAGCTTTGCTCTGCAAAAAAAACACCTCAGACAGATATGCAACAGACTTCAGAACACACAACATAAGTGTCCACTAGGTGGGGTGGTGGGTTGGGACTATCCCCACTTCAGTTCCTGCAGCCACTACAAGCAGCGCATGTCACCTCAGTGTGGATAGGGGGAGGAGCATTGAGGGTTGGAGGGTTGCAGTGACCCTGGAACGTTTCGGCGGCCTTCCCGCAGTCCCACCCAGGCTGGGATAGGAGACAGAGTTGAGTTGCCATAGCGACGGCACATTCCACATATCTTCTGAGGGGGGAGTTTTCGTTGGAGCCTTGCAGGCTCAAGGGCGCCAGATTCCGATTAGAAATTGTTTTGGGGCCAGACAGAGATAATTTCCTTTCTGTCTTACAGTTTGTTGGTCCTCAACCTCTCAAAATCCCAATAATGGACAAATTGTACAGTTTTATACTTCAGTGTAAATAAATACTTCTATTTATAAACAAATGTAATAATAAAGTTAAATCTCAATATTTGAAATCAAGTCCAAATACAAACATTTGCATTGAATTATTTAGATTAAAGTTGAAATATTTAAAAGTACATCTACACATTTTAAATGAAACCTAAATATATTAAGTTGAATCAAAACATTTAGAATGATTTAATAAAGTATATAATATATCTAAATATTAAAAATGAAGTCTCAGTATTCAAAATTACTCCAAACCTAAATATTCAAAATCAAGTTGAAATGTATCTCTTTCATCTAAATATCAAAAATCAAATCTACATTTTTGGTACAGTTAAATATTTAGAATAAAACAAACTAAAATTGATCTTTTTCACATAAATATCAAAAAGTCAAGTGTACATTTTTGGTATCACTAAATATTTAGAATCACATCTAAACAGGTACTTTAAAATTCAGATAGGTATATCAAATCTAAATATTTAAACTAATTTAAAGTTTTTAGAATAAAGTAAAACGTAGGCGGTTCAATCTAAATTTTAAAACCATAAATATTTAGTACCAAACATAAATATTTAAAATCGAAATATCATAAGCATTTACAATCCAGACAAACTTTCTTTTTTTATCTCAATATTTAAAATGAAACCTTAAAAATTGCTATCAATTTGACATATTTGGAATCAACGCAACATGTTTAGTTTTAGCGTTTCTTATTAAATGTGATGTGACATAACATAATGTAGCGTTTACACTCTTTATTACTTTACAATCCACCCCCCCATGCATAATAAGATCACATCTGCAGTAACGCGTTGATCTAAAGGGTGAGAACCTGTTAGTATAGCTGTTGGTGATGGGCAGACATTCAACAGGTGAAGCTTCGTGCTGCTGAACAGAACAGATCTATTCAGGCTGTCTAATTGGATGGTGGGATTATGTTTTTCCCACAGGCTTAGAATTAGCCACAAGGCTGCAGTGGGTCAGACTTTAACCCCCTGGGTCGTTTTCAGAGACTTAATGCAGTTTTAAATAGAGTCCAAGGAGGTCTTGCATCAGAAGTTGTTTCTAGATTATTCCATTTAAAACCAGAGCACTGTAGCCAAACAGGGACAGATGGTGTCTAGCTAGTTTTAAAATATCTTTACTTTTGCTCCTCTGCTGCCAGATATTTTGAAATAAATTACTGTTTTAATGAAGAAATGTAACTTTAAAAAAATTAAATCATGCTCTATCTTTACCTGTGGGGAGGTTCCCTCCTCCTCTGATCCTTCTCCATCTTCCTCTTGACTCCCCGCCTTCTCCTCTTCATGCACCTCCTCATCATCCCCATCATCTCCCTCCACCAGTGTAGGTTCATTCACCACATCTTCTGAAGAGTCTTTCCCAGATTCTTTCTCTTCACCTTTTGTTGCCTCCTTCACTGTCTGCGTATCACCTTCCTCTTCATCACCCTCTTCTTTTTTGTTGGACTCCTCTCCATCTTCAGCAGACTGACAAGTGCATTCTTTTTCATGCTCTTCTTTCAGTTCCTCCAGCTCTTCATTCTCCCCACTAGTTTCTTGGTTAACACCAGCTTTAATGTCCTGTTTGGTTTCTTCCTCCTCTTCTTCCTCCTCCACCACTTCTAAGTTCCTGCCTTCTTCATCTGCTGCCGTCCGTTCATCTTCGACCTCTGTAGGTTGGGATGCTGTCACCGTTGTGGGAGATGGGTTCTTCTTGAGCTGCAGAATCTTACGAAGGTCAAATTCCATCATCACGGGAGCTTCGGCTGCCAACGGATTCTTCTTAAAAGGCCGAGCGGCTATTTTCTTACGAACGCAAGCCTCACAGGGGCAGTACTCATCATCGCTTCGCTGATCACTTCCTGTCAACTCTTCATCGCTGACAGAGTCGGCGGTTTTTACTGACTGGTTCTTCATCACCTGGAACAAAAATCTGAGTGAGCGTCATGGGTATCAAGCAGCATTTAACTGTGACGAGGTCTTTACCTTCAACATCCGTCTCCTCCTCTCCGTCATGGTGGAGTCCCTAGAGATGTTTGCCAGCCCCGGCGGTCGAGGCGACCTGCCCCCCTTGCCAGCTCGACTTTGAATCTTCCTAATCTCTCGTTGGATGCTGTTCTGAATGCGCTGACTCACCTCGTCCTTCAGCTCAGAGATCATGGTGTCCAGGATGAGGCTGTCGTCCAGATCCCAGCGAACTTTGAACTCAGTCATAGCTTCGATGTAGTGGCTCATGAACTGTTTCTCTAGTTTCTTCAGCAGGTTGAGTACCCACACTGGATCTGGGTCTTGGGATGGTCTTTTCGACAAGGGTGCACGCAGGACAGTTGGAGGGGTGGCTGAGTGGGGGTCTTCCAGCGTCTCTCGTTCATTGTCTGTGAGGGACTTGGAGCTGTCGTTGGCAGAGCTCTTGTCTAACGTGGAAGGGTTCTCTGTGGCTTTTAGGCTCTCGAGACTTTGAGGAACGGTGCGTTGCTCCTCACTCTTCATGAGTTCCTCAGCTGTGTCTGCTTCACTTGTCTTCTCTGGTTCCATCTCAATGTCTCCATTACTCCCATTGCCATCCTCCTCTTCTACCACCTTCTCCGTGGGCTCCTCCTCATGCACTGATTCAGTTTCTTTTGCAGGGCTTTCATCTTCTCCTTGATTTCCATTGCCTTTCCCTGATCCATCTGAGCCACTGCTCATACCCACCCCAGAAGAGGACGTCGGTGGCGTGACCTGTGCCGCACCTTTTTTCTTCTTGGTGTCCACGTCGTCAATGTCACTTGGTTCAGTGAGCCAGAGTGACTGAAGGACGGCCATAATCTCATCATAATGCGGCCTCTGGTCCTTCTGTTGGTGACTGACGAAGCCCATTGCAGGCTCAAGGACCTGGAGCTGGGCCAGACAGTCCAAAAGCCCCCTGGCTGATGTGCTCAGTCGACGACCATAAACTGGAGACACCTAGACAGGACAACGAGTGTGCAGATTATGTTATAAACTAAGAATGTCACGATACAACTTTTTCACTTCCGATACGATATCAATATTGTAGCCTTCATTATTGACCGATACCGATATCAATATTGTAGCCTTCATTATTGACCGATACCGATATCAATATTGTAGCCTTCATTATTGACCGATACCGATATCAATCCGATATGATATCAGCACAAATCATACATACTTTTACCTATTTTGTAGTGTGGAACGTATGATCAAAGTGATATTACTCAATCGGTTAACAAGAGCCAATAACACTAAGTATGAAAAAAGACTTATTTTTAACCAATGTTTGCAAAAATGTGAACTTTAACAGACTGCTTATATCAATATTCAAAATTCTATTCAATTCAAAACTACTTTATGAATCCCGGAGGGAAACTGATATAATGTTTTTGTATAATGAGTTTGTCCCATGTGAGGAATCGGAGGGAGGGGTAGAGCATCTGTCTACATAAACATCCAGGAGGTTTCGGATGAACGACTTTCCAAGGCCGACATGTGGGTGCCGAATTCAGATAACGATTGTTGTGGTTCAGGTAGAGCGAGTTAGGTCTGCCTCAATCTCTCAGTGATCACTGAATATATGGCTAGTTTCCACCAAGCTGAGCTGTGAGCTCTCCATGTTCTGATCCAGTTCGTAGACGAGTTCTGTGCTCATTCAACACGAGTCAGAGTGCTTACAACCCAACACATCCTTCCTAGAAGACTGTCGGCTTGCCAGTTGCTCCAGAATGCTTTTGAGTTTTGCGATATACCAGGAAACTGCCTGCTCCAAACAGCAGAATCCCAGTTATAGCGAATCAAATTTTATCTTCTACATCCTCAAATGGACAGCGGCGACAGACATAAACTGATATACGGACATTAATGTTTCTAAAATCAGCAGTTTAATATAGAATGAAAATTATTAAAGCTGAATTTATATTATGTACACAACACACACATTTACGCTTCTGAGATGATTACGATCACTGTCACATGACTAAACAGTCACACATCACTCCCCTCACCCTCTGAAACAGGCAAACAAATGGAGACAAGATGGAAAAAATATTGGTTGGTAATATTGGCCTGGTTGTATTTATCGGACTGATACCGATATGTTAAAAATGACTAACATCGGCCGATACCAATATTGATGCCGATATTGTTGCAAGTTCCCACATGCCAAAGACAGTGGCAAGAAACGGAGTCAACAGGTGGGCCACAGAGATAAGATTGGACCCACACTGAAACACACTGAACTTGCTTATGCGAGTAAAATCAGCCAGAAGACAGGGGCCCAACTGCACAACAAGCATCCAAGCTGGGACAAAAGAAGATCAACTGAAGATAAAGCATCTCACAAGTGGACAAACCCTTCGTGAAGAATCCAAGGGATCAGAACTTGCTTCTAGGAGTAAAATTGGGCAAAAGGTCAAGAAGTGTCTGACTCAACTGTCAGCAGGAGAGATGGGACTGAAGGAGACAGAGTGAAAAGAGCCCATCAGGAAACGGAAAGCCTTCATGAAGAATGCTGGACTTCGGAAGAAACTGAAGATCTGCTGCAAAGATGACACCAAATGGCCTGTGTTAAGCTGAAGAATCGTCATGAAGGATCCTGCATGTAGCATAAATGACACCAAATGTCTTGTGTTAAGCTAAAAAGTGTGTATCTGGTAAATGACCCCATGACCTTACTGTCATGAGGTAATGATATATGTGTAACTAGAAAATATTTACCTTGTCTAAGCTGACCCAAGAAGAGTATAAAAAGAGCAGCTAGAAGCAGAGCTGACAATAGTTGGGGCAGACGACAGTGAGAGACAGAGCAGATTTGGGATAGAGGAGGTCAGTTTTTGGGGAGAAGCAGCAGGAGCAGTCAGTGAGCGTGTGTTAGAGGGTATTAGCCTGAAGAGAAGAAGATTTAGGGTTGGTGTAAGCCAACTCATTATTCTTAGTTAATTATTAGGATTAATTATTCCTTGGGGGTAGGATCAGTCTTATATCTACCCATTTTTTGTATTTTTTAATCTTGTAATAAAAGTTTTGAGAAAGAATCCACATCCCTGATTCTTCCAGGTCCTTTTTAAAGGTTAAAGTGGGAGCCTCGACCTATCATAAGGAGAGGTAAGCACATTAATTACAGGTTCCTGAATTGTCAGGATTTGCTTTATGGTTTGTGACAGATCAAGAAAAAGAAACCTGAAGTAAAGAAGCTTGTCTTCTCCTCTCCCGTGAGTAACGAGATGTCTTAAGGATGATAAGCCAAAACATTAGTAGGTTAATTTAGGCTCTGTTTGCAAGTGTGAAAACGTCTCCGCCAGCGTGGGAAGGTTGGATTAATTAGATAAATTGATAAATCTATGTTAGCCTGATCAACTAACAGGAATCATTTTCTAGTTACCACCGCCTACTAAAGCTGACAGGGGTGCAAATTAATCCTAATAACCCAAAGAATTGTCAGCGACGGATGGCCACCCGTTGAACTTTGCCCTAGTATCTAAAATCACTAGATAATGGGAGATATTAAAAGGAAGTTTGCTCTCACAAAGAAACAAGTACGGCATATCATCTTACCTTAAAATAGGAAACTGATTCTAATGTAGGCAGTCCAAACCAGGGTCTAGTACAATAAAACTCACCGACGCCCCACGAACCCTGAGAAAGCAGCGCAGTCTTATAAGTTCTAACGGAACCAGGTTTTAAAGGAACCAACAAATAGGATGTGCTCGCGACAATATATTGTCCATCCCTACTTTCGTTAGCCTCTTACTGTCAGCTTCAAACTTTTGATCATCTTACCTGATCCAGCAGGTGAAGAGTTACACCCCTCAGGCTAAATTATCAAAGCTATTGTCTGATAGGTCAGAAGAGCTGGCCCCTACTCTCACATGTGTAGCTTGAACCAATCATAGCACAGCATATCATTGATTGATGCATCAAATAGCCAATGAAATTTGGAAAACTAAGATCTCTTACATGAAGACCCATTGTGGACTGCTATTGCAAAATGGTTATGAACAGCTGGGATTGGCTGATTTATCTCTTAAATGTCACCTGATTGAATATGTTGTCTATCGTCATTTGTCAATTAGAAAATCAACATTGTTGCCTCCTAGTGATGCCTGATTGGCTAAAACCTATTGTTTTTAAGTGTGACTTTCTTACCTCAGGCATGCTGCGGCATCGACCAAAGGATGAGCCCAGGAGAACTTTCATGACTGCAGCAGAACCCTGCCAGTTCTTGGAGCTAGGAGAAGTCCCGACTGGATCACCTAACGTTTGACCCGCTGTGTCACATTCACCTTTGTCTTCCTTTTCCTTTTCTTGTGGCCCACTTTTCTCCTCAATGTCCACTTGCTCCTCCTCTGTGTTCAGCTCTTCTTTCTTTGCCTCCTCTTCAGGTTTCCAACTCGTCTCCTCTGCCATCTGATCGTCCTCATTCAACTCGTTGTCGAGTGCAAGCATGCTGCTGTTGGCTGGGATGCTCCTCAGCCAATCATTAACAACCTCATTTGGAGAAGCGTTGGGCAGACATTCAGGAGTCAGTTCCACAAAATTCTCCTGATCCCTCTGATTCCTGCTTCTTTGAGATAGCTCACTTCTCTCAGTCTGGGGGTTGTCACTGGTTTTGCTAGTTTTTGACTGTTGGCTGCGTGGGCGTACAGCTGCCATGGTTTCCTTCAGTAGATCAGCAGCAGATAGAGAGTGGGACAGAGTGCTCTCACTACTCGCCTCAGTTTTACTGCCTGATTTGGGGTTGTGTAACAGGCAAGCCTCACTTCCTGTTGGGGACTTGGTCTTGTGATCTTTGACTGGGTTGTGATTTACTTTGCTCGGCTTTAAACTTGTTTTTGACTCTGACTGAGTTGAAGTTACTGACTCAGGCCTACGGGAACAGGGATTTTGGGATTTTGGAGTCTTATTTTGTGGTATGTCTTCCATGTCTCTGGTCTCACTGCCTGCTCTACAGATAACCTGGTATTCACTGTTTGCCAAAACACCAGCGGTGTCTTTTGTAGGGTTTGTGCTGGCATTTGAAGGGGATTTTCTACCAACTCTTTCTGAGACGGCAGAGGAGGTCTCATTGCTCAAGGTGTACATTTTTTGAGTTGCTGATGCAGACTTTGTGCTTTCCGTATCGTCTGCATTGGTAACTCTATTGGGACTAGAACTGGCACCTCTCTTTGTAGACTTACTGTCAAGCAGCTGACTTGCTGCTGTGACACGACATCTACAGCAGGACTTATGTGATCTGCTGCTTTTGACTGTACTTGCACTTGCTGCTCTCTCTAAGTGTTGTCCTCCGTGCTCTTCACCTCCACCCTTGCCTCCTTCTGGTGTTTTGATTGTAGGTATATCAACTGCTGGAGGGGACTTGGTAGGCTCTATTTTCTCCATGTCTTCTTTTGCAGAGGAGTTTTCTGATCTTTGAGAGTTTTCCAGTTGTCCCTTTATTTTCCCATGAGAATTTTTACTAAAAGCACTAAACTCTGAACCAGCTGTTTCATGGTCCTCTGGCAGCTCAAGAGAGGTTGATCTCGATGAGATCCGACTCAGAGTTTGCTCTGTGACACCCGATCCTTTCCTTTGTCTTTTTGATGCCGATGACAGGATGCTGACTGCTTGTTCAAAAGCACCTTCACTATTAACATCTTCCTCATCCTCTCCTTCGTTTATATTATTTTCTTTTTCAAGGGCTGATGCAGCTTCACAGCAGCATCTGGATCTGCCGGTTTTTCTCAAGGTTGTGGAGTGAACTGACAAGGCACTGGACCCTCTTGTCTCTCCACATACTGGGTTAGGTGACAACTGTTTGGAGGTATGGATTTGAGGAGAAGGAGTTCTCTTTGGTGAGGATGTTATATCATGTGAGTCAGAAGATTTTGGAGCACTGTCATCTACAGGTTCACCTTCTTCAACTGTTTCTGTAACAACAGTATCATTTAAATTTTCTGAGGTAACACACGGGTCTTCTTCTCCTTGTTGTGATATGATGGTAACATTTGGGCTGGAGGTATTTCTACTACAGTTTGATTTGTGAGAAGCAGAAGACTTCACAGACGATTTAGACTTTACAGACATGACATCAAGGTTGTCCCCACTGTCATTTGCTTTCTCATCTGTGTTTGTTTCTATCAAAGCTGAGTCGGGGTTCAGAGGGTTTGAAGGGCTTTTTGAGTGGTTTGAACTTTGGGACTTGGAGGACTTGGCTGAGGCATGTGATCTCCCTGATGTAGCACTGGGAGATCTGTCTGCCACACTGTCTATATCTGTATTTGTACAGTGAGACTTTGCATCTTCATCAGGCCTTGCACTGGTTTCCTTCTTAGACTTGGCTGACTTGACACTTTCTGGTCTCCACTGTGTTTCAGCTTCTATCCTTCCACCAGTACTATCCTCCACCTTTAAGCTGGGAGAAGATGCCTTTCTGTAGTCTTTACAGTTGGAAGACTTTGTGGAAATAACGGACAACTTTCCAGACATTTGACTTGTTGTCCTCTCTTCTACATCTTCTCCAGATTTTGGGCGAGGAGACGGTGGTTGTTCTGAAGCTTTGGTTGAGTTGTGGGATTGATTGGTCTTGGCAGAGTGATGTGACTTTGCTGACACTACACTGGTTGACCTTTCCTCTGCCTCTGCTCCTTTCATGGGTTCATCAGATAGTGCTTTTGCACAGTGATTGCAAACAGACTTGTGAGATGTTCCAGACTTTGCTGAAACGTGTGATTTATCTGATAGGACACTTTCAGCCTTTCCAGTCTTTGAGGACTTGTGTGATTTAACAGAAAGGACACTGGGAGCTCGTTTGTCAGGGTCACCTTCTTCTGGAATCCCTTTAGTACCTGATAGACCATTCACCTGAGATTTGACCGAAGAGCCAGAATTGTTTGACAATGAGCTGGCTGCTTTTTCTGCAGTAGCATCTTCCTCCCGGTTTTCCCTTGAATTCCTAGCGGAGTCTTCATTTGTGCATTTGGACCTGCTGGACTTGACAGATTGGTTAGACTGCACCGACAACGCACTAGGACCCCCGACACCAGACATATCGTTACAGTTAGACTTGGCTGACATGTTTGATCTGAGGCTTGCAGCTGAAGCATTACTTGAACATCTTCCTTCACCTTTGTCTTTTGAGTCCGGATCGGACGTTGCAGACATGGCAATGGATGCTGTACCCTCCAGGGTGTTTGATACGACAGGTAGAGGCCCATCTTTGATGAGGCTGATTGTTTTTGAATCTGCTGACACAGCTAAAACTGCATCATCACTGCCATTGCCACCAATCTCCTGGTTGGGTAGAGGTGAGATGTGGGTTGGAGAGGCTCGATTTGACTGATTTGTAGCACTGCTGTTAGAGTTGACTCCTTGTTTCCAACCCCCACAGTGTGAGCACACATTTGACGTCCATGATTTCTGAGAGCTTGCTGGACGTCGTGCCAGATGAGATAAGCCACTAACAGCCCTGTTTACCTCTTCTCCTGAAATCTCAGATTCAATTTCCTCTTCTGATTTATGTTTGCTTGCATTAGACCTGGAGGTAGGCGCTCGATCTGTCCCATCTGCTTCAATGACTGGGGTAGCTGCTCCACAGTGACAAGTGTGGCTTTTGACAGAATGGACTGAACTGGTGAACACAACGCTGGCTGGCTCTTCATCGGGTTCAGCCACTGGGGTTGGTGAAGGGGATGGTTCATTTCTGTGGGAGCACTGTGAAGCACTGGGAGGCAGATCATACTCCTCATCATCCTGGTCTTCTTTCAGTGACTGGAGAATACGTGAGGAGCTGCTGACTGTAGACAGTGGGCGGCCTTCATCTTCCCCTATCATCAACTCACCCTCAACTGACTGTCTGCTAGGTGGTTGAAGGTTGACATCCATGGCGACAACTTCAGTCTGACTGCAGCATTGACTGACCTTGCAGACCTCTACCTGAGTGTCCCCTTCTTGACTCACCTCTACCCTGCGTTCCACCTGCTCTGTCATGCACATCTCCTTCTGGACCACTTGGCTTTGCTCTGATTCTGAGCCACCTGGAGACCTGGACAGACGTGCCCGGCACCGAACCACTCTTCTGGTATTGCATGATGAGGACGAGCTTGAGGAGTGTGTGTGTCTCATAGTGTGGCTGGATGTCTCTGTGGGTGGGACAGGACAGTGTTGGATGGCAGGGTTTTCCCACAAGTCAAACTGATTATCTTGTTTCTGGTAGCAACAAGGGTAATGGTTCTCTTCCAACGCACACTGCGGCAGTTGGCTTGAATAGTCCACCCCTTCGTATGATGTAGAATCTGGGTCTGAACATGTTTCTGACCGGCCCTTCTGCAGGTAATGTGTCTGGGCTTGGCTTGGGGGGCAGCAGTCATTGGTCAAGGAGGGAGATTTTTTTATTTGTGTGGACCAGTGAATGGTTTCATTGTTTTGCAGGTGAAAGCGCACCCTCATCTCCACTGAGAGGCTGCCATCTTTATTAACAAGGACACGCTTTTCAATGTCGTCATTCATAATAGCTGGTCTTGCCTGGGAGCAGGCGCCATAGGACTTTTCAGAAGACAAAGAGAAACGAGTGGAGCGAGTTGAGGAGTCGGAGCGAGGATGGATGACACTTTTCTTGGTCTCCAAACCAAAATTATCTGAAAAGACAAACAAAATAGCATGTTAGGTAACTTTGTGCACCATTTTCTACTCCCTTCACTTCCACTGGTGAACCTCTATAAGCAGAATCCATGTTTAAAGATATCCCTCACTCATTCTTTCGATAAATATGTTTGGTACCAGGTATGAATGAATGTCTTGTGACTAGGCTGTCACTAGGCTAGGCAATAGGAGTTGTTCATGTTCAGCATGCATGTGCAATTCAGAGTGACCAATCGTACTTTAGAATGTTATTTAAAAAAAAAAATTTTTTGGACCAAAGAACTTACTTTTTTTCCTGCTGTCATGTTTTTCATCATACTCGCTGGCTCTGGACGGTGCTCCATGAGAAGACCTGACTCCATGGGTAGCAGATCGTGCTCCATTACCAGGAATCCTCGGACCGAGACCGGGGGACTTGCTACCCAGACCGGGTAATTTTTCCTCAGATGACTTCCTGATGAAGTTGACGAGCGTAGGACTGAAGGCTTCCCGGCCGACACACACCAACACACCAGGACATGTCATCAGGCTTTGTGCGCTATCGATCTGGAAGCAAATTGACACAGTGGAACAGTTTTTACAAAACATAACGAAGTTAACTATACATTGAGGTGAAAAAACATTATACCCTGCGTCCTTCTGCCGTGTAGAGCTTGCGGACGTGAAACTGCATCACCTCAGACACCTCATCCAGAAAGGCTTTCAGACTTCTGGCTGACCGTCTACTCAGTACAACGCTCCTCCTCACACTAGGCTCGCTGTTCTTCACAAGCAGGATCCGTCGCTGCCTGTGGGGGAAGTGCAAAGGGCCTGGGGGTGTCGCAAAGGAAGTCTCAGGCCTCTGGGGCCTCCAGCTGTGATGGTACGAGATGCCTTGACGTTTGCTGGCCAGATCCATATTGATTGGTTTAGCTTGACGCCGGTCAGAGCAGAGGTAGCAGCCACCATCTTGGAGCTGCTCTAGGTGTTTGATGGTGTGTGTACCACGGGGTGTGGTCACAGTTCTTACACCAAATGGCAAGGGTACCTGTACAGAGGCACATTTACAATGCTGTAAAAAAAAGCACAGGTTTACTCTGTTTTGCCTTTTTGTCACACATAAACCTGGGGTTTGTAGCTTCCCCTCCCGTTCTGGAAGTAGCAGAAATCCACGCCTCATATCGCGCAAGCAAATAACCGTGCAGTGCTAACGAACAAGTAGCTAATGTTTCCTACGTGTTCCTGCTCAGACACACCTGCCTCTAACTACTGAATTATTTCCTCGGCATCATCGGGTTCTGTACCAGCTGCTAAAAACTAAGGAAGTGCTAACAGGCAGGAAGCCGGCACTGGTAGCATACAATCGCTAACGCTACAACAGGCTAAATAACAGCACAATGTTACAAATTTTAGTACAAAGGTTGAATGCTATGCTAATCACTTAGCTCCAGTACACAGAAGATAAATCCCTTTTTGTTCCCTTCCCATCTTTTCCACAGTTAGCTTGAAGTTTACAAAATGCAGGTCAAGTTAGCATTAAAGCTAGGTTAGTGTGATAAGCTGACTGTGGCACCTGCGTTATCCTGCAGTGCACGATGGTTACTGGGCGCATTCTTGTTGATTGACAGCTCCCTCCTGCAACTCTACTGGTCAATCATCCAAGTATGTGTAAATCGGGGATGTCCAAACTTTTTAAGACGAGGGCCAAAATCATGAATTTAAAACTCCTCACGGGCCACAAATATATATAGTTTTTTTTTAAGAAGGCAAACATTATTTTATATATTTAATTATTTCTTCTTAAAAATGCCTGAAAAAGATATGTTAGTACAAATTGGAACCTAAAATATTAAAATATATTAATTTATATCAACAGCATCCTGGAGAGACTTAATTCCACAATTCCAAAAACCATAGCGAGGGCCACGCAAAATCACTCCGAGGGCTGCAAAACGCCCCCCGGGCCGCACTTTGGACACACCCGGTGTAAATGATTCATTTTGCTGTAGAGGTCTGGGGAGGGACACCAGGGATATATAAATTGTGAAAGATCATCTACTATACATCACAGAACAGGGTCAGATAGTCAAATTTAAACATGTTATTATTTAAATTACGTACTTCAGCATTAAATGTTTGGGATCAGCAAAACAACAAATCCTCCTTCAGGGGTCTGCGACCTTTATAACCAAAAGAGTCATTTTCTCTTCAGTCCATCAGAATAAAACTTGTTAAGAGCTGCAGGACATTTTGAAAAATAAAATAAAAAAAAAACATTTCAGAATTTTTCATTTTTGCTGAGATTTCTGCCAAAATAGTCAGAACACAGAGACTAAAGTCCATTATATGGGATTTGTTATTTTTATTGAATAAACACCATTTTGTTTGTATAGGCTTTAAAATGAAGAATATTTAAATGGTTTTCTACGGGATGTTGATTTTTGTAGAAAATTTTGTGAAGATCTAGCTATTCGTGAAATTTGTAGTGATCTGGAGCTCGTTTATAAAGCTTGCTTACACACAAAACAGGGTCGGAAAACTGCGTAAGCAACTGTCCACGCAAACTTTGGGATTTATGAAAGAAAACTTTGCGGAAAAATGTGCGCAACTTTAAGTTGGCTAAAGACCTGGCTTACGCACATGTTGGACATGGAGAGCACCTGCAGTGCTGCTGCTGAGAAGGATACAATTATGAAATCCCGCAACATTATCACTTGTACAGCTTCGTTTTCACACAGAACAAGACCCCCCCCCCCCACACACACACACACACATGCGCGCACTCACACACACACAGCCTGAAGGGCAGAATAGGGAATGTAGAATATCAGCAGGGGGACAGATTGAGACAGAATGTCATGCGTCTGTGACAGCGTGTGTGTCCTGTCACTGTGACCCGACTGATCATGCGCCCTGGCTACTTGTATAGGGGAGATCTCTGTTTGGCTGACTGGTTAGCGTGTGTGACTTTCACCCGGGAGTCTGGGGATTGCATCCCGATTGGACCATTTTTTTTTAATATCCGCCACAGATCTCTCTGATGAACTCACAACATTGACGGCTTCAGCAACGCTGTGCCACTCCATGGATTTTCTCTTATTTGTTTTGCAAAAGCACTTCCTTTCATTTCTCCACCTCACCCACAGGTACCTCAGTTTCTGCTTCTGTGAAATTGCGCTTCCTTGATCTGCCTTGATCTACGGTCGCCATCGTCATTGGTGGAGCACTGCAACAGCCGGCTTATGTATATGCATGAGATCCACAAGGCACTTTGCTTTGACCATTTATGGCAGTAAGTGGGCGTGGTGAGGGCAGAATGTGACTAAAAAGCAGCTGAGAACCTTTCTAGATAGTTTCTGATTTATGAAGCGGAGATTGCGTGCAGCTGTGCGTACTCCATGTTTGATAGATCACAAACCTGCTTGGCGTAAGTACATTTTTTTGCTGAGCTTAAGTACGGTTTTAGTAAGGATTCTACGCAATGTTTGATAAATGAGACCCCTGTTATTTGAATGCAATTATTCCCTGAAAAAACAGAAACCTGTGTTTTTATATCTAGAATTTAGTTTTTCTTTTCTTTCTTTTAATCATTTTTAGCCAAAGTTGTTAAGAGCCAGGTCGCAGACCCCTGACAAATATTGTATATGCTAATGAGTTTTCTACATCTTTTTACACAATTGTAGAAAACACACTTAATGATGCTATAAAAACAGAAATACAAAACATGCAGCACACATGGATTTAAAAAGTAGGCTTCAAAAGAGCTCTCTGCAAGCCCCTACCATCATCACACTAACCTTCTGAGAAAGGTCGTCCAGTAGGGCATCAAAGCATTTGAAGCTGCGCTTGTGGATCGCCATCCGGACGCCCCCAAACTGGCTGTCACCGCTCTTATAAAACGTGATCCGCTTGGCTGGGGTGGTTGAACTCACATGAGGGTTGCGTAAACTAGAGTGGGGGGGCACAGGAATAGGCGAGGCATGTTTAGATGGGGGCTGGGAGTCCCACAAACCAGTCTGGACCAAATGCATGCTCTGATCTCACACACACCTGAAGAGAAAAAGGCAAAAATTAAACTTGATTTTAAAATGTTTACAATTAAGAAATCACTAATGTCTGAATTTTCCCCTTTTAACAGTCGCAGTCGTCTTCTATGATGGGTTGACTTTAGTTTCCCTCTTAAATGTCATCATCACACTTTCTGAAACACGAGGTCTCCGTCATAGAGATTTAGGATTAAATATTAATGCAATACAATTTAAACTGATATTAAATGTAATTTTTACTATTAATCTCTGGAAATATCCATTGGAATGTTGTAGTAAATGACTTTAAAAAATCCCAGTTGTTGAAAAATATTGGCAGTTTCATAACAGACAACCATAATTATCTGTTTAAAAATACATGGAGAGGGTCTAAGTCGCTGGGTGACTCCATATTGGATGCCATGTTTCTTCTACGGAAGTCTGTGAGGACAAAATGCATTTACTGATTTGTAACAAATGGTTACAAAACGTTCACCATTATTAAACATTTTTGCTTTACACATTTACCTCTTCACTTGGTGCTAGTGATGAAAGGGAATCTGATGTTCTTATTTTTGCTGGAGGTTGCACTCCCAGGGATTTTTGACCCTAATGGCTATCTGTTGGTAAGGTCTTATTTGAACACAAACATAATGCTTGCTGGCAGTGATTTAGGTATTTACTGCCCCCTATCGCCAAGGAAACTACACACTGTCACTTTAATGATATAGATGTTTAAGCTTCTTTTCACCTGTTATTTTTAGTAGAGTAGACAAACACATGTTTAGAAATCCTATTTGTACGAGACGCAAAAACTGTCTTTCCTTCTTCTGGACACCCAACATAGACCATTTGTGTAATGCACAGCGTGTACTCTAAACCAGTGGTTCCCAGTGTTGACCCAACGCTGGACTGAGTAACATCACAGTGGGCTCCAGATATGATCTTCAAAGTCCAACGTAATCTAAAAACCATTACTGACATATTTTTACATTAAAGGTCAACTTTACATATATTTTAATACATTTGCAGTGGTTTCAAGTAGGACTGAAGGCCTTGGAAATCACCATCTGGGAAAAAAAATGCTTTGATGATTGGACTCTTATTTCCTGATATTTGGATGTCTCGCCTTGGATTGGTTAACACCAACACGACTCTACCACTGCCTCGGTTTCCTTTGCAACGTTGATGTTTTTGCTGCACAAATAACACAATCCTGAAGGAGTTCTGGTTAGGGTTAGCTTCTAGTCGGGACAAAATCTGCTGTTTTCTGGACTCTGAGTTTTTCATGCAGGCTGAACATGAAAATAGTCTCCTACACCTATCTCCTGCATTGGCTTCTGATAACAAATAGATGGTGAAACTCTAGGAATTGAAAAGCCTGACAGATCTATGTCACACTGTCACTTAGTGTCATGGACTCACCCATGTTGGCTTGTGACAGAAAGGCTGTTTTAGAGTCCAGCAAACAGCAGGAAACATGCACCAGAGCTTTTTTTCCACCCAGAGAACGAATTGCAAGGCATTAGCTCCTACAATTGCATTGATTGAACAAGAGAAACAAACCTTTAAAATAGTTTTGACACAAAAACAAGTTGTTGTTTGCATCATTATGCTTTCATTTTTGTTGGTCAGCAGATGGTTGGGTATTGTGTGTTTTTAACTATTTTGTGCTGTTATTGCCCTCTTCACATTTAAACTTTTTCATGACATGCTTCTCAGTTTTACATGTTGAATTTCCACGTGTGACCATGGCCAAGCTAAATTAAGTTGGCTCAATTGTTAGCTTGAAAAGATTTAAGGTGAACAATAGAAGATAAAAATATAAATCACAGATGAAGGATAACGATCAAAAAACACACACGACTACATCGCACACGTCATACCTGGAAATGAGCTAAAAACAGTTTAATTACCCTTTAACTAATTAGCTGTAATAACATTTAATATCCAATGTAAAAACGTGAACAGCATCAGCAGGCTTAGCAGGACTTTAATTCCCTGGACTTCAGAGGAAAGCCCAACGTGACACCATCACTCTTAATCCCTCTCTGACTCAGCTTTAAAGTCTACAGTATCGTTTATGTTGAGAGAGCAGCTTGACCCAGAGTTTAAGAACACCTAAATACTTAAATGTAACATTAAAAGCTCACTTTTATAACCTTTAAATCTATCAGATCATATCGGTTTCATTGTAGTTATTTTTCCCGCCTTAGCAAGCCAGTGAAAAAATGCTAAGCTAGTTAGCCACAATTTTTCCTTTCATTTATATTACTACATAGGACTGGCCAGTTAAATCCAGATGGTGTCAAATTTTGAAAATTTGAATGCATCAGGATTATTACTGTTGTGCAGAAAGAGCTGTTAAAGAATGGAGAGCTAGCACTATAGCTTTGTTTTCATTCCCTCTAGTTAGCCTCAAAGAGAGTAAAATAAAGTTACAACTACTAATGTATTCTACTTGTTCTTTTTTAAACACAGAAAGGGTTGTTTTACCTTTTTCGCTGATGTTTTGAGCACTTCTGCAGTCTTCTTCAGAGCTAGCTGCTGTTGGCAGCGTCACTTCCTTGTCCATTTATCCACGGCGTCGCCAACAGCAGCTAGCTCTGACGAAGACCGCAGAAGTGGTTGAAACGTCAGCGAAAAAGGTAAAACATCCCTTTTCCGTGTAAGAAAACAAACAAGTAATGCAGTTAGAAGAAACACAGAATGATTGCACAAAATATGGTAAGTCTATTGAGTTTATTTTATAAAACATGCATTCTAAAAATGTCAGAAAAACATTGATTTATTTGCCCTGAAGCAGTCTAAGTCAGGCAAACCTTTCCCAGGTAAGTCTAAACTTAAATCTCTGTTTTTCCCCTGAGAATCGTTGACATTTTTGCATTTGAAAGCACATAATTTACATTAAAGATGTTGGATAAATTAAAATAACATCAGTGAAGGTATGTATTTTAATATATTTGTCATCTGATTAGAATCATTATTTCCAAAAAATAATTCCAATCCAGTCTTTTAGACTGACAATGTCGCAAGAACAAACCTTCTTAGTATTAAATCAAATACTTGTGGCATTTTACACTAAAAAAGTGTTTAGTGTTCAAATGTTGGGTTACTAATAACAGACACTAGTATTTTCTTTACTAGTGTCATTCATTTTAAAACCATTACAGTTAACTCAATAATTATTGTCATGGCACCATTTTTACATCTTTAAAATAGTTTAAAACTATATAAAATGCACTTTCAACAGCCCACACCTGGTTCTAAAATAGGTTTACATGACAAAGATGCTACTCACAAATTCAGGAAACATGATCCAAAGAGATGTAGAAAAGCAGAGTGTTGGTAATAATGACAGATAAAGTCAGACTTAGATCTGGTGTGTCCTGCCCGTAGCCTCACTAATAGACTGTGAGAGGCAACAGAAGCTGTGCTTCCAAGGTCCTCGGGGTAAAATGGCAGACAGTAATCAGGCGCAGGACGGGTGGGGGTGGACAGGGGAAATGAGGAGAAGACAGGAGGAACAAAGCTAATGATAGAAAGAAAAGCCTGCTTAAGTATCTCAACATGGACCTGTGTGTGTGTGTGTGTGTGTGTGTGTGTGTGTGTGGGAAGCAAAAGGTTGTTGCCAAACCTGAATTGGTGATAAGACAACTGATGTTCCCACTAGGAAACACTAGTTTGCTATTTTAAGTTGTTACTGCAGTGATTAATAAATAATAGGTGAGTGTCATTTAATTGTGATTAAATGACTTTAAAAGTTAAAATAAAGTGAAGAAGGTTTAGATCAAGGGTGTTCTATTGTGGGCCTGGAGGGCCGGTATCCAGCAGGTTTTAGTTTTAACCCTGTTTCAACACACCTGATTTTCATCAGCAGGTAATTAACGGGCTTCTGCAGAGTCTGATGAGCTGCTGCACAGGTGATTTGACCACTGAATCAAGTGTGCTGGAGCAGAGAAACCACTAAAACATGCTGGATACTGGCCCTCTAGGACCAGAATTGAATACGCTCAGTTTAGATAGTTCTCATTTCCTGTTCATTTCTTGTCAAAACAATATTGCTCACTTCATGTTTACAGGTAAAAAGACCTCTTACTCCTTCAGGTGTAAGCAGACCTTTCACTTCATGCTCATTGGTTATAAATAGATTAATCACTTCCTTCACATTTAAAACAGAACTCCAATTGAATAGGTCTCTCTTCCTCTTTACATGTTACAAACATGCCTCACACTTCCTGTTTAAAGGTTACAAACAGACCTCACACTTCCTGTTTAGAGGTTATAAAATGACATCACTTCCTGTTCAAAGGTTACAAACAGACCTCACACTTCCTGTTTAGAGGTAATAAAAATATGTCACTTCCTGTTTAAAGGTTACAGACCTCACACTTCCTGCTTAGAAGTTATAAAAAGACTTGATACTTGCTAACAGGATTAAAGAGGTCTTGGACACAATTATTGATGAGACACAATCAGGCTTTATGAGAAATAGACACATTTCTAATAACATTAGACTGGTTTGGGATTTACTTGACTACTCCGATTTGGTATCTGACAATAGCTTCATTCTCTTCCTGGATTTTTATAAGGCTTTTGATACAATTAAACATCAATTTATTTTCCACTCTTTGGAAAAATTTGGCTTCGGCAGGTTTTTCTGTAAAGCTGTCAAAACCTTATACACAAATGGCAACAGTTCTATTAAAATGATTAACGGCTCTACCCCGAGATTTGACCGGAAACGTGGTATTCGCCAAGGATGTCCTATTTCACCATATTTATTTTTACTTTGTACACAAATTCTTGCAACTAATATTTCAAACAGTGTTGTACAAGGAATCACCATAGCTGATAAGGAGCTCGTGATTAGCCAGTTAGCTGATGACACCACACTCTTCTTAAAAAATGCAAACCAAATCCCTTTAGCTCTTAGTGTGATCAGTGACTTCTCTGAGGCCTCTGGTTTATGCCTAAATCTAAAAAAGTGTGAGTTGCTAGCAATTAAGGACTGCCCTGCAAATACTGTCTGTAATATTTCTGTTAGACAGGAAGTCACATACCTGGGACTGTTAATATCCAAAGATCAAAAATCAAGATGCTCTTTAAACTTCACTCCAATTATACAGAAAACCCTAAAGAAGTTCAACCAGTGGCTGCAGAGGGACTTGTCTTTGAAAGTTAGAGTGTTAATTACTAAAGCTGAAGGGTTATCCCGATTAACATATGCTGCTCTCTCTTTACATCTAGATAAGGAAATTGGTAAAGATATTGACCGTATGCTCTTTAATTTTATATGGAAAAACCGTACGCATTATATTAGGAAAATTGTTGTGATGAATAAGTACGCATCAGGTGGGCTTAACGTCCTAGACTTTTCTACTTTAAATAACACTTTCAAAATTAATTGGGCTAAACATTTTCTTAAAAACCCCACCTCTATCTGGCACCTTATACCATATCATATTTTCTCTCGTTTTGGTGGCTTTAATTTTATTTTAAATTGTAATTACAATGTTGAGAAACTCCCTATAAAACTTTCATCCTTCCATAAGCAAGTCCTCTTAGCGTGGACCCTCATTTATAAACACAACTTCTCACCTCACAAATATCTTATCTGGAACAACAGAGATATTTAATTTAAAAATAAATCACTTTTCCTGGAAACTTGGGTCCAGAATGGGATCCTATTGGTGGCTCAGCTGGTTAATAAAGAGGGACAACTACTTACTCACAACGACTTTATTGCCCTATATAATTTCCCAATCAGTGTTCAGGAATTCTCAATGGTGCTTGGTGCCATACCCTCAGGGACTTTAATGTTATATAAAAACACTGACAGCTCAATATCTACCTCAGTCACACTCCCTGATCCAGTTGAGTCACCAATAGGAAAAATCTGCTTTTCTCTAGAACGTGGTAACAGCAATAAGAGAATCCGTAGTTTATTCCAGGAAGATATCGTCTCTCTCCCGTATATAATATCTCATTGGAACCGATATGTTCCAGATATCAAGTGGAAGACAGTCTGGATGATCCCCCAGAAATATTTGATTGTAAATAAGGTGAAAGAAGTCTCATTTTAACTTCTACATAAATGTTATCCAGCCAGTCATTACATGGTAAAATTTAAAAGGGACATAAATACTAATTGTACTTTCTGTGGGGATCATCCAGAAACTGTGACACATTTTTTTTGGTGCTGTTCTTTTACACAAAGATTCTGGAAGGAATTTAGCAGGTTTGTTACTGTCCATATTGTAAGGGAGTTTTCTTTACGATGGGAAAATGTTTTATTCTGTTTCTTTAAGTTCCCCATGAAGAATGATAAATGTTTTTGTATGATAAATCTGTTAATACTCTTAGCTAATTTTTTTATTCACAAATGTAAGTTTACCAACAAAACACCATATTTCTGTCATTTTTTTAAGGATGTGGAATTGTACATAAAATCAATATCAGAATCCACTAACCAAAAGGCTCTCAAAACAATATATATGTGAATTTTTGCGTGCATTCTTATAATTGTTACTTTTTTCTTTTACCCCTGGCTTTGTGTGTTCATATTCTGTTTTGTATACTTCATTCGTTTTTATGTTGTATACTCATTGTTTGTTAAATAAATTTTTATTAAAAAAAGTTATAAAAAGACATCACTTCCTTTTTAAAGGTTACAAACAGCCTCACACTTCCTGCTTAGAGGTTATAAAAAGACATCACTTCCTGTTTAAAGGTTACAAACATGCCTCACACTTCCTGTTTAGAGGTTATAAAATGACATCACGTCCTGTTTAAAGGTTACAAACAGACCTCACACTTCCTGTTTAAAGGTTACAAACAGACCTCACACTTCCTGTTTAAAGGTTACAAACAGACCTCACACTTCCTGTTTAAAGGTTACAAACAGACCTCACACTTCCTGTTTAAAGGTTACAAACATACCTCACACTTCCTGTTTAAAGGTTACAAACAGACCTCACACTTCCTGTTTAAAGGTTACAAACATACCTCACACTTCCTGTTTAAAGGTTACAAACAGACCTCACACTTCCTGTTTAAAGGTTACAAACAGACCTCACACTTCTTGTTTAAAGGTTACAAACAGACCTCACACTTCCTGTTTAAAGGTTACAAACAGACCTCACACTTCTTGTTTAAAGGTTACAAACAGACCTCACACTTCGTGTTTAAAGGTTACAAACAGACCTCACACTTCCTGTTTAAAGGTTACAAACCTCAAACTTCGTGTTTAAATGTCAAAGACCTCACACTTCCTGAGGGGTACCAAGCCCTCATTCCCATGCTCCTTGAACGAATGTAAACTATTCTATTCTTCATTAAGTACAATGATAAAATGGAAAAATGCAAAAATCATCTCACGGCAAATAACTTAGAACTTACTGTTTTGAGTTTCCTATGTAAATCATGCTCCTTATTTTTTTGATGTTATTTTCCTTTTCTTTGATAAGCCCCCTAGCCTGTTTTTAAGCTTACATCCTCCACGAGAGTTTGTACCTTAATGTTGTACCTTGTTCTGTTATGTCTTTGTTCAGGAATAAAAAAATAAAAATAAAAAAAAGACCTCACACTTCCTGTTCAGAGGTTATGAATAGACATATCACTTCCTGTTTAAATGATACAAACAGACCTCACACATCCTGTTTATATGTTATAAACAGACTTTTCCTAAATGCCATTTATCCAACCAATGATTATTTACACAATAAACTCAACATCAATATGAATGGATGCACTTTCTTCAGTGATGAAATTGAAACAACTGAGTGTCTTTTTTATTCCTGTAATAAATCCAGAT